ATAGAATAGTTAGGGTTGAAAAGGACCTTAAGATCATCAAGTTCCAACCCCCCTGCCATGGGCAGGGACACCTCGCTCTAAACCATCTCACCCAAGGCCTTGTCCAACCTGGCCTTGAACACCTCCAGGGATGGAGCATTCACAACCTCCCTGGGCAACCTATTCCAGTGCCTCACCACCTTAACAGGAAAGAATTTCCTCCTTATATCCAATCTAAACTTCCCCTGTTTAAGTTTTAACCCATTACCCCTTGTCCTGTCACTACAGTCCCTAATGAAGAGTCCATCCCCACCATCCCTATAGGTCCCCTTCAGATACTGGAAGGGTTCTATGAGGTCTCCACACAGCCTTCTCTTCTCCAGGCTGAACAGCCCCAACTTTCTTAGCCTATCTTCATACAGGAGGTGCTCCAGTCCCCTGACCATACTCGTGGCCCTCCTCTGGACTTGTTCCAACAGTTCCATGTCCTTTTTATGCTGAGGACACCAGAACTGCACACAATACTCCACGTGAGGTCTCAAGAGAGCAGAGTAAAGGGGCAGGATCACCTCCTTCGACCTGCTGGTCACGTGCCTTTTGATGCAGCCCAGGATACAGATGGCTTTCTGGGCTGCAAGCACACACTGAAGCTGGCTCATGTTCATTTTCTCATGGACCAGCACCCCCAAGTCCTTCTCCACAGGGCTGCTCTTCTCTGCCCAACCTGTAGCTGTGCCTGCGATTGCTCTGACCCAGGTGTAGGACCTTGCACTTGTCATGGTTAAACTTCATGAGGTTGGCATCAGCCCACCTCACCAGCGTGTCAAAGTCCCTCTGGATGGCATTCCTTCCCTCCAGCGTATCAACCGAACCACACAGCTGGGTGTCATCAGCTTGACTCTAATCTTGGAGCACTTGAACTTTAAACCTCAGAACATCTTTGTGAATGAGCCACTTTCACAAATTGGAGGGTTTTGTAAGTGGAGAGCAAAACCCACAAGAACTTCACATGTTTTTGCCCTCTAGACTCAGAGGTTTAGATACAATATCAGCCTGCTAAAACTCTCAAAGGCAACTGCTGGGCAATGACTGATCCCCGAACCATCCATCCTGAACAACTAACATTATCAGTGTGCTCACTAGAGCGTCTGAACTGAATAATGAGTTTACAGATTGACAGACATCCCACTCCAACTGGAATTAATCCTCCAAAGCAATACAGTCAACACAGTGAAACTAGTTCTCCTATTCCCTTTTGATGCCTGGCTCATGTCCACATTGTTTTTCCCCTGCATTAAGATAATGGTCCTATCCACATTACTTTACATTATTCTCTTCAGATACAAATTCAATCGGTCTGGATCATAAATATTTCTTCTCTGTTACAATAGTGCCTTGTAGCCCCAGTCATACCTTAATGCCAAGAGGAACAGTGCATATGAACTGAAGAGAGAACATGAATTATGAATAATATATGACTATCTTACTTAGATTAAGAAGTGTAAGTTTAAATTCTCTTCCACAGTTTCAGTGATGTCTGTAATTTCTCTATTAGAAACAAGGAATTCATTAATTGATTGCTTATGTAACAAAGATCATTACATAAAATTATCACCTAGAGGCACTGACAGAAGAATTGTAATTATCCAGGTGAACGTCAAAGCAGAACTGCACTTTGTGAGTTCTATGGTTGCCTTCTCACCTCTGCTGCTCCCGATACACAAACCCGATATAGTTAGCAGCATGTTGATTAGCCTGACCCTATTTTGAGATTATAAAAGACAATTCCAAGCAGCAGCTGATCAAAACCAGAAGGCCTGCTGGATGAATTCACGGATGGTAAACCAACGGTGTCAGTGCTGCAGGCCAGCTGCCAGTTTCAGGGCATCCAAACAAGCGTGTGTTTGCTGAAAGGATGAGCCATTCACAATGCTGAAACTAAAAAGCTTTGCCTTCAGTACTAAGTAATCACTCGCAGGCCAAATGGAAAAAAGAGTATTTCTGAGCTGTATGCCAGATGCTAAGAGCCTACAGAATAAGGTCACTTCCACAGGTGGAAAAGCATTAATAAGACAAGCCACTCAACTCGGTCTCAAGCCCTGTGCCAAGCAGCAGGTGTTCCTTTTCTGTGTGAGAATCCTCCAGCACTTCTCTTGAGGAGCAGCAAATACAAGGAGTGACCATTGCCACCTGCTGTGAGAGCTCCTGCTCCACAGCCCCAACACAAACCCTGCTCTTCCAGCACAGGTCTGGCAAATGGCACAGCTCCTCTCCAGCCACTCACCACAAGCAGGACTCAGTACAGCCAGCATCTTTCTGTGGAGCCCCACATCAGTTCTAAACCTACATTGAAATGAAAGCCATCTATGCTGCAGGCAAATCTAAACCACAATCCTTGCTCACATTAGAGAAGTACTTCTACAGTGCTAATAGCTCATTTTAGGAAATCTCACCAAGCAACACACGTATCATGAAATCTTTAATACATATGTTCTACCACTGAAGGAACATTTCCTTCGCACTGCCAGAAGGCTCTCTACAAAAACAACTTTCCCCTGCATGAAGAGCTGTATAGCAGAAGACAACTGGAAGGACAATAGCCTAGATTTCAGTTTTCAGTAGTACTTGTGCCTCCCAGTTGGCCTGCAAAAGGGCTGGGCACTACTCATAGAGTCATAGAACTGTTTGGGCTGGAAAGGACCTCAAGATCATTTAGTTCCAACCCCCCCTGCCATGGGCAGGGATGCCTCACACTAGGTTACATTGCCCAAGCCTCATGGGAGAACAGGGGAAGGGGAGATGGCAGGATTGCTGTGCTTGCTTTTGCTCTTTTACTTCAGTTTCCACATTAATCTCTTCTCAGAAATAGCCTCCTCCCTTTTTGGACTTAAACCTTGCTGTTCTCTTTATCCTGCCAAAGTCAACACAAACATTATCATATTGACAGTGACCATTCTGTCAACAAAAACCCAACACCTTGAAGTGAACCCCTTTTGCAGTCAAATAAAACCACTGTATTTCGCTGCAGTTCTCCTAGGAGTGAGTAAAGAGCAGCAGATGTCTCCACCTTTGGATTATCAGCAGTGCTGAAACTTTGACAAAGGGGATGCTACACTACAGCCTGCTGTGTAGCAACTGGGGCAGAGAGCAGGGCTGGCGAGGCTCGAGCACGGGCAGGAAGTGCGCTGCGGCAGCACTGCACGCAGCCTCCTGCAGCCAAGTTTGGGTACAACTAAGTGAAAATTAGTCTGCAGTGAGCTGTGGGTCACCAAGGACAGGCTGCTTCTAGCATCTAAGCCAAACAACTTCAAAATAGACTTTGCGTCTAAGCTGCAGTGCAGTCTGCAGTGCAGTCCCCATTGGAAATGTACCCAAAGTCTTTGCACTCAACATTTTAATTCAGACATCAGTAAACAAAAGACAAATATAAAGGCAGTTTTAACTACAAGTAATGAAAAGGATTACAATTTCTGTAATGTCTCTGTAACCCTTTTGTTCTCTTTTACCTGTGTTCCTGGGCCACACTTTCCAAATGCTGCAGCTTAAATCAGGCTCATCTAAGTCTAACCAAAGTCAATGGAAGGCTTTCTGTTGATTTCATGGAAACCAAAACTTTGCTTTTTCATTGCTACTGTCATGAATAAGGATACAAGAGATCACTACAACTCGAACATCTGGCACAGTCTTACACTGAACGTCGAAATATCACTAAAAGACAGTCGCTCCAGGTACAAACTCATCTCAGCACAGGTAACTCCTCAATGAAAATATGTATATATATTAAAAAAAAAAAAGGGGAAAAAAAAAGGAATAAGCAGACAAACATTTTACTACTTCAAAACACTACAGAAAACATGTCCCACTGCAGGCAAGGCTGCTCACCTGAACCATTCCTCTAAATCCAGTTTTAAACTGTTAAGAAAAAGCTTTTTAAATTAAGAAGAATCTCTTGCTGGCAACACAAAAGCATCTGCACAAAGTACACATGAAAGCACCTGGTAACAAATTAACAGGGAAATAAACCCCATAATGATCTCTTGCAAATAAAAGTGGTTTTATTTCCAGATACTTCCATTAGCTTCAATGTTTGACTCAGAATTAAACAGCACAGGGATTCAAAATTTGACCTCCAATTAAATCCTTTTCTTCACTGTTCCATTTTTTCAATACTAAGAGCAATCAGATTAGGAACTAGCATTGCCTGTATCTTTGTCCTTTAAATAAACTGCTGGATATCACTGTATTATGCCTATGAGCTCTTTCACATGATCTGTGAAAAGCATACTTAAATATTCCTCTTTCAAACTTAATTTGCAGTGATTTTCTTGAAGCAATATGAGAATAAAAGAAGATAATTGATTTCAACAGTAAGCAATTACACACAATGACTTTTCTATAGCAATTGTCTAATTAAGAGACAATTAAGAACCCACCATATCAAGCCTTTGATTTAAGCATTACTTCTCAGGTATTCATAAGATATGCAAGATGCACAACTTTCTGTATTCTGTTATATTGCAGATTCACCAAAATACTAGCTCCAAACTTTTAACCCTTCACAAAAAAAAAATTATACTTGTACACATGATCTGGATCCAAAGGAAAGAAACAGCTTCTGTTCAACTGAGTAAAAATACGTGAGGATTATCAACATCGATAAATAACATCAGTGGCAAGGCTGACACTGGGCTAAAAATATCTCACCAAAAGTAACAATGAATGGTTTGTTATGAGTATGAAACATGCATATGCACAGATGTCAGTTACATAACCCATTTCTTATATCATTAAAGAGTAAACACCAGCCTATTCTTTCAGCTTATGAAAACACAGTAAAAAGCAGCCACATTTCTCTCCCATATTCCTCTCCCCTAATTAACAGGTTTTTTTAACTGCATGACTTTTACTACTGCAGCAGAATCACATCTGCCTCCTTAGTCTGAATTGCTACATATAAATGCCTATTGCTCCCAAAGGCTTTTCTAAGAAGCATCCGTAACAAAAGAATTGTAGGTGCATACCTTAACCTCTTGGTTGGCAAAAACCTCCACATCAACCCCACAGGCAACCAGAGTGGAGACATCACAGTCCATGCTACGGGCTGGCATCCCCCTCTGTTGTACACAGAGTTAGGCAACCTCAGAGTTACAAATGATTAGAAGGAAAAAAAACAAATCTTCAATTCAGTATTGCAGTTGAACAGTCCAAGATCCTGTTTCAATGCTGACAAGAACTGCAAGCTTCCGACACAAGCTCTTTGCACTTAACTGAGTTGCTCCTTGCTTTTCCCCCGTACACCCACCAACTGAGCAGGCACAGCATAGTAACAGCGCTATTCCATCTCTCATGGCAATGACATCACCACAAAGACTGACATAAGCTAAATCTATTTTTTTCAACCCTTTTATCTCTAGGCAGCACAGCGGATCAAATTGAACATGATTATGTGCTAAATCTGAACTCGGACTAAATCAATTCAAGCAGCGTTCACTGGCAACTGAGTCATAGCTGTTGTTTCAGCTGAGTGCTTATGTTGGCAAAAAAGATTGCCTGACACTGAAAGGTCCGCTCTGAGTGTAAATTAACCCAGCATTCAGCGCCACTAAGCTCAAGGTAATGTTTGTTATACTGCAAAACCTACAGCAGAGTACTAATAAAAAACCCTCAAAGAAACAACCAGCAAAACCCTTAGCATTCTGTTTTTAATAGCTCTAACTCCTCCTTTTTAGTAATGCACGCTTCATAACCCCACACATGAGATCATCATAGTCCTATCATCAGGAGTGATCAACATACTGCAAATGTGATCCCAGTGCTTAGATATACAAGTTGAACTGTGACTCATCTTCAGAAAGATCAGAGGCATGTATGCGTGTGATTTGGAAGTCAATTGCCCTTCAAAGAACAGAACATGAAAATTTCCCTTGAAAATAGGACTTTGCACTAGACAAACCTTTGTACCATCTGTCCTCAGAGCTGCTCCTCCATGAAGGTAACAGTATTCAACTGAAAGAAACAGATTTAGAAAGGGGAGATGTTTTACACCTGCTGACTCAGTGGTCTGTTTATTCTTTGCCATTTTATTTTTTTATGATAGAAATAAAATACCTACAAATTCAGGAATTATAAAGGTGGATCTTTATCCTGGACTTCACTATTTTTCTCAGAAGCACAGACTCACAGAATGGTTTGGGGGCTGGAAGGGACCTTCACGACCATTCAGTCCCTGCCCCCTGCAATGAGCAGGGACACCCTCCCCTAGACCAGGTTGCTCCAAGCTCCGTCCAACCTGGCCTTGAACACTTTCAAGGATGAAGCAACCACAGCTTTTCTGAGCAACCTGTACCAGTGCCTCACCACCCTCACGGTAAAGAACTTCTTCCTAGTATCTAATCTAAAGCTCTGCTCTTTCAGTTTAAAGCCATTCCCCCTTGTCCTATACCTGCAAGTCCTTGCCAAAAGTCCCTCTCCAGGTTTCTTGTTGGGCTCTTTAAGCACTGGAAGCTGCTCCAAAGTCTCCCTGGAGCCTTCTGTTTTTCAGACTGAACAAGCCCAGCACTCTCAGCCTGTCCCCATAGCAGAGGTGCTCCAGCCCTGAGGATCTCTGTGGCCTCCTCTGGACTAGCTCAAGCAGGTCCACATCCCTCTTGTGTTGGGGGCCCCAGAGCTCTAATGTTTTATTTTGTGACCCATAAATTACTTTTAATTGTTGCAGGCCTAGAGATGACATTTTTTCCTAAATCAGATTAACAGGTGGAATTAAAATATTTATTGATACAAACCTAGCAGCAGCACATAGCTCAATGTAAGAGACTGTTCTGCTCAAGTCCGTTTCACTGACAGATACTGCAGCTTTTACCATGGTTCTGTGATGCTGCACATCGTTTGCTATTGATCCTTTAACTAGGTTGCCTAAAACTGTATCAGATACATACGCTGAACTGTGGTCAGTTTGGGCTGCAGACTACCACACCCTTAGTGAACTTCAAAATCAAGACATGTGGAGAAAATATATCAAATTCTTTGCATCAAAACTGTGCATTCAGACACCTAAAAGCAGAAGTGGCTCCAGATCAGACTCAAGCCACCCAGCTTCTTTCCTTACTCTTTTTGCCAGCACTGTAACTGGTAAGTGTGGGGCATTCCAGATCAGGTGGTAACAGAACAACCTTTGTGGAGTAACCCACCCTTCACCCCTGTGAGCTGGCAGTAGGGTTAGATGTTGATACAGAAAGGGTGAGATCTCTTATCAGAACATTCTTTCCCAAGTTCTGTTAAATTAATTTCCCACTTTTTATCTTGCTTTTATAGTAGCCCCCTCACCAGTGCTCACAAACTAAGATCCAGAACCAGGACACAAACACATCCCAGCAATGATGTTACAAACCAACAATATACCAGTCAACAGCCACGGACAGGGTAGTACAAGGCAGCAAGTTAATCAAATGCAGTTTATCATGATAATCAACTGTTTCGCACACCAGCAACTTAATCACTGTCAAGCTTTTTCATAAACCACAGGAAAAGAAAGAAATTTGAAGTTAACATTTTTGTGTATGTTTAGAGGAACTTTTATTCGTATATTTCAATCACAGAATATCACATCATAAGGAACCTCAAGGATCATCTGGTGCAACCTTTCTAGGCAAAGTATGGCCCAGACTAGATGTCCCAGCACCCTGTCCAGCTGAATCATTAAAGTGTCCAGTGCTTGGGAATCCACCACTTCCCTGGGGAGATTATTCCAATGGCTGATTGTTCTCATTGTGAAAATGTTTTCTCTTGTATCCAACCAGAGTCTCCTAAGGAGTAACTTGTGCCAATCACCCCTTGGCATTTCCATGGGACTCCCTGGAAAAAAAAGGAATCTTCATCTTCTTTGTAGTCACTCTTTAAATACTGGAACATGGTGACAAGGTCTCCCCTGAGACTTCCTTTCTCAAGGCTGATCAAACCCAGCTCTCTTAGCCTTTCCTCACAAAGCAGGCTTCCTAGTCCTCTGGTCAGCAATATCCGAGCATCGTGTATATGTGATATTATAGAAAAAAAAAGCCCTAAAAATGCCTGGTTGAAGTTCCAAGTGGGCAGGATTGGAAAAATCATAAGATTTTTCATGATTAGTTAGTAAGGAGTTATGAAAGACCTGGAAGGAATCACTGAAAGCAAAGACAAGTCACATACATCTGAGCCTAATGAAAGTTTTAGCAGAAATGGACCAACAGGATGAAAAGCTGAAACAAATGTTTGAAAAAGGAAAAGATCAAGAATGAGATGGTAGGGATCCTTTAAGGTCTAAAACAGCATCCGAAGTGAAAGTGAGGCTTGTCCTAAGTATGGTTTCATAGCAGTGACAGAAAAAAGATCTTACAGTATAGAGCTACACTGAACAGTTCCATCAGAATTTATTTCCTTTTTTCATTTTTAAAACTGTCACCTATCAGTTTCAATTGCCTTTCTCCTTAACCTTCTTATGAAAACTGGTATGCGGTATGCAAACTGACCTGTTCCACATCATCATCATTCTTGCACGTCTACTTTAATCTTCAAAACAGAAACACTGAAATTTTCCCACTCCATCTGAGTAAGGAAACCGTACTGAGATCACAATTACTTTTCATTTCTTGTTTCTTGCCTAAGCACAACCTATTTTTTCCCGAGCTCACTAGGCTATTTTAGTGAGCTCTTTACAGAGACAACCTATTTGGATTTTCTTCTTGAAAACAATGGTTAAATAGCAGAAGAACTCTACAGAGTGTCTGTACTTCAACTTATGTCTTTCAACATCATATTCTGTTTATTACTACTCATTTCTCATTTGAAATCAAGACATAATCCTATGGGAGATATTTTATCAGAGCACTCTACAATTCCATATTGTGTCATCTAAGGTTAATAAAAATAATATCAGATAGTAAGTTTTTCACTATGAGTGTGCTGAGGCACTGGCACAGGGTGCCCAGAGAAGCTGTGGCTGCCCCATCCCTGGAAGTGTTCAAGGTCCGGTTGGATGGGGCTTGGAGCAACCTGGTCTAGTGGAAGGTGTCTCTGCCCATGGCAGGGGGTTGGAACTGGATGATCTTGAAGGTTCCTTCCAACCCAAACCATTCTACGAATCTATGATAATTTAAAATTGATTGACTGCTTTCTCCACATCATGAGATTTGGTTTTCAATCAAATTTAAAGAACCATTCTTCTAAAAAAAAACCCAAAAAAAAGAATATCGCAAATCAGGTTCTATATGTCTTACTAAATTCAATTCACCCAATTTGCCAGAAAAAATAAAGCCATATTTCATGCGTATTTTAAAGTATCACATTAAATAAATAGAAATTGCTACAGACACACATGCCCTTCAACATACACGTAGAAGAACTCTTTCAGTAGGTTCTCCAGATCAAAAACTGCTGCAAATCACAGCTTTTCTACTAACACGTGCATAAGAAAGCCACAGTCTTTTGGGCACACGCTAAGCCAGAGGATTTCTGGATCACATGTATACGTTAAGGCTTCACCTGAAAGTTAAAGGCTAGACAATATATGGAATATTAATACTGACAACTACAAGCCAATATTTTCCTTCCAAGAAAACAGTTGGTGCTGAGGACCTAACATCAACTGTATGCCTATTTCAAGAGGAATTATTTTAGGCTAGTACTAGTATGCCCTGTGGACTGGTATACAGCAGCAGCCCAGCAGACAAAGAGTCCTGGAGGTTTCCTCTGGTTTAGGTTCATCTGAAGGGAACCCACATACAAAGCACTCTGCGATGCAAGCCAAAGAACAGATGGTGGAAGGCCATTTCAGAAGAAAATTACCTGAACTAGAATGCTACAAGTGCATCCAAAAGTACATAACTCTACTTCTGTTCCCTAGCAATTTTATATTGGGCTTGAGACTGTGACCACTAGTACTGAAAATGAAGAGAGAGCAGAGAGTTTTGAGCACTCATTCAGAAGTTTCTGAATTAATTTCAGGTTTTGTCCACAGTAACAAATGTGCACAGAATTAAAAGGGCTCTATCCACTATGTATGAATATTTCAGGGGAGCAAATTTAAGAGCAATTGAGACCCACTTGTATATGTAGGCTGAGTATGGAAATACCAAGTTTTTACAGTGCTGTGTATAGCCATCAAGTAGGGTAGAATGCAGAATAATACTGATTAAACGTAATTCTGGGTGGTATTCACTCTTGTTCCTTCACAAGAACTAAAGTCATCCCATAGAATCAGTTGACTCTCTGATGATCAACACTGATGATCATGTCTTATAGTTGAATCAGCAATCCACTTCAAAAAGACAAAAGGTTCCCCATATCAGAAGGAAAATAAGTCATGCTGTTCCATCAAGGGACAATCTTGCATTCTGGATTTGTACAGTGCCTGGGATAACACAGTCGTAATGTATAACCTTTACCCTGGTGCATGGAGCTTTTGTTTTTCTACAGTGTTAATAT